TGTGTGTGTGTGTGTGTGTGTGTGTGTGTGTGTGTGTGTGTGTGTGTTATAAGCTTCCCCCACAACAACCCCTATTCCAACCAGATGAGTAGAACCGGACTGAGTCCGCCCAACACTTAAAAAGGAAATTCTCTCTTTAACAGACAGCACGAATTATAATAGAACCATTTTGAACCGTGTTTAGCTAGGGTTTCTTTGGGGCAACAGCTCCTCTTTCACTTTGCCTCGCACGTACAAGGCTGCCCACGTTGATGGTGGTTGAGCGGCAGCTGCCCACATCCCCGTGTGCCTTAACGGCCCACTTGCATGTTATAATAAGAGGCAGAGTAAAGGGGAAGGTATGCTCCTGTGCACTTCTCTTCAGATCTTCATACTCCTGTTCATTTCTCTTCAGATCTCCAGCTGTTCATTTCACTTCAGATCTCCAGCTGTTCGTTTCACTTCAGATCTTCAGCATATGCTTAGTCTTTGTGTCTGTCGTTCGTCTTCATACTCCTGTTCATTTCTCTTCAAATCTTCAACTTATGTCTGTACTCTTACTGATGCTCATTCGTATGTATTTCCTAGTTGCACATAAGGAGAGGGCGGAGGGAAAGGGACAGGAGGTAAGTTTGCCAGGACGTGAGGTAGGTGGAAAGCAGAGTGCAAGGGTAGGGCAGGCGAGAGGTATATGATGGGCTTCACAGAATTCTAAACACTCACCGCTGGAATAGCACATGAGGTTCATTGGTGTTTGGGTTGCACAAGATTTTGAGTCAAGGAGCAGTTATTGCCTATGGTAAGTGACCATCCCTACAGACCGGACAGGACCGGTTCGGGTGTGGACTGTGGAAGCACCGCATCCAGTTTTCGCAGTCACAGTTGTTGCAGCGAATGGCATGGCGCAGACAGATGTCACAGGCAACGTGGCTCCTACATGCTAGGAACACGGAGGCACGTCGACCACAATTATACAGGCACTGCCGTTCTAGCCCCTGTCTACAAATTGGACATGACATGTCAGGGTGCCGTACATGAGTACAGTGCTGACTGTCGTCGTAGGTATGAAAGCAGAAACTCGCATGGACTATTCCTTCATAATCCTCATGGCACAAAGCATGTGCACCACACGCTAGTTGAATCTCCGACAGGTCATCACATAGTGGCATAGAGCATGTTTCTTGGGTTTCCTCARTATTTATTCCTTCTGTATGGGCAGACGACGACAGGGAGGGTCGGTCCAAAGCAAGGGCGTTCAGTTGCTGCAGTATTTGGTCCACAACTGCTCGCCTTGATGGTGATAAGCGATCAGTACCCCGCTCTGAAGCTGGTTCATATAGAGGCCCATTTTCCTCCTCGGGCTGCTGTGTGTGTCGCATGTCTGGCAAGGAAGAGGAAGAACCCTCTGCGGTTGCCGTAGGTGTATGACCAACACCGCATGTGGGACATGCTAGGAGAGGATGTGGTGGGTGATGGCACGAGGGATAGTCCACGTAGTAAAGACTCATACTTTCTATGACTGCTTCCTGGAAGCACTGACGACACATGGCATGTTGCTGACATGTCATCAGTATGGAAGAATGATGTGCACAGTTATTTAAGCATGGCAGATCAAGGCCACAACGGCATGCTGGGCAAGTAATCAGGGGG